GTTGTCGTTGTTATCTTCAGTATCACTAACCATGATTAAAGATGGTGAAGAAGCTCAAGAATGGAAGGAAGAGGAAGGTGAATAGTGCAGATGATTTTTGCCTACACTATTGATACTATAATAGGATTTGTATGAATGTACATTATTCAACTTGACTTTACATTGATATCAATCAACATAACTAACTACCCTAAATAAAATAAGAAACCCTAACTACCTTAACAACTAAATAACCAAAATAGAAATACAACTTAATAATATATAAAATTTAAATGGGCAATGTTATTTTTACACTCATTTCCTATAACAATATTTGATTTTTTTTTAAATAACACATATTTTCAAATAAATACCAAAATAATTGAGTTTTCAAAAAAATTACCAAACTAACTTACTTTTAACATGCATGCGCCATATGATATGGCGACAATATTGAAAATGCAAATAAATTGAACTGATGTGTCATATCATATGACGACACCATTCAAAAAAATTTCAGAAGAGGAGCCATATGATATGGCGTCTCAGTTCATTCCTTTTTTTTTTTTCTTTTTTCTTAAAGACATATTTACATTGAGGCGCCATATCATATGACTCTTCCTCTAAATTTTTTTTGAATGGTGTTGCCATATGATATGACACATCAATCCAATTCATTTGCATTTTCAATGTTGTCGCCATATGATATGGCGAATGCATGTTAAAAGTAAGTTAGTTTGATAATTTTTTTGAAAACTCAATTATTTTAGTATTTTATTTGAAAATATGTGTTATTTCACACAAAATATTATTCATCGTATTTATATGGTGAATAATATTTTTTTAATAAAAAATTATTTATAAAAATATTTATTTTAAAATTAATTTCGTAACACAAATATAAAATTTGTATTAACTAATTTTACTATAACCACCAAAATATATCTTATTAACTACACATTTTACCCATAATTTATTAATCAACTTTACTACTTCATTAATCAATCAAATACATAATATTAACAAAGTTCTGACATTAATTTATAACTTAATTAATAAAATTTAAAAATTATAAAAATAATAAATAGTAAAATAAAATTGATTAATATTAAACAATTTTATAAACTAGTAGTATTTATATAATATTAACAAATTTTATTTTAGTATTTTTTTTTTATTTTGAAAATTTATTTAGAAATTATGAATTATTGTAAGAATTTGATTGTATATTTTATTGATTAATGAAGTAGTAAAATTGTCTAAAGACAATAAAAAAATATTTGATTAATACATATATTTTTGTGGTTAATGTAATAATAAAATTGGTTAATGAAAAAAATATTATATTTGTGCTAAAAATTAATTTAAAAAAAATATTTTTTATAAATATTATTTATTTATTTATTTTAATATTTTTTAAATGAAATAAAATAGTATATGATAAATAAAATAAAAGAGTTAAAACTGACATAAAAAAGTTAACTACGTTCTAAGAAAATAAAATAAAACACAAACATAACCAAACACTCGCGATTATCATCTTCTCTCTAACCTTTCTCACCTAAAATAACAAAACACTCCTCTTCCCTTATTTTCCGGCGATGGCAACGGAGGCGGCGCCACCACCACCACCTATTTAAGAAATAACTTCTCAAGCCTTGAACATCATTCAACAACTATTAAGGTAATTAATTATAAAATTCCGTTTTAGGGTTTTATGAAATTTGCTTTTCACTTTTTCAAATTTGCAATAAAAGGAGATGGTGATCAGCCGAGTTAGTAGAATTCATTTTCCAAAAGAATATTTTATTGCATTACATTCTCTCATTCTCTATATTCTCCTTAGGTTGGATCAGTTCTGTTGAATTATGAAGTTTGGTAGAACAGATTTATTTTCTATCTTGCAAGATGTAAAGCGCCAAGGGAAACGGAACAAACTCAAGAGGAGGTTACCTTCATTTTTGTTTCATTCTTATATTGCCTAAATTTAAATTACATTAAAATGTTACTGGTGCAGGTGGTTGTTGGGTTTACCTATCACAAAACGCGAGAGGAACAAGTTGAAGGAAAATCTCAATCGGTGCGCTTCATTTGTTCAATAATTTACTCACCATGTTTCACTCTAATCAATTGTTTTATTTGTTTTTAAAATTTTCTGTCCACAGGTATTTGCCCGAGTTACTCAGAAAAGATGATGTAGGTTTTGTTTATCGTATTGTATTATCACAGTTACATTTATAGCTCTTCGAAGATTTGAATGATAAATTGATAAATGATAATCTAATAATCCTTTCAGATATTTTATGAGTCAGTGAGAACTCATGTTGAACGCGCTTTTGGAGCACACTACATTGAAAGAGAGAATTCTATCCCGCAGGATGATATGGATTTGAACCGAATACCCAACTTAAAAATGTTGATATTATCATGCCTTGATAATTTGACCACCAAGGGTTTATACTCTCTTGCTATGATACTTAACGGTGACACAGCCAAATATGAAAGAACCCGAGGTAGTTTGAAAAAGATTATCAAGCATTCTCTTTCAAGTGATCTGAGTAGCGAAAGATGTAATGACCAACAACTGGAAACTCGTAAAGAGCTTTTTCGACTTCTCAACAATCCTCAACATTTTCGACATAGGTGTGAGCTTTTACCTGGATCTCAGTCCCAATTTTATCATGCAGCTGCAGTAAAGGTGTTGTGTGGACTTGAAAAGTTACCATCCCAAACTTTGATTGCAATGCGTAGAAAACTTAAAGGAATTAAAGCACCGATGCCTCAGTTGCAACCATGCAAACACGGTTGGGGACGATGCCATCTCATCAAACTAGTGGATAAAATATGTAGAAAGATGCTTTTAAAACTCGATGAAGGAAATGAGCTACAAAAGCCATTAGCCAAAGCTATGTCAGTAGCAGACCTATCACTAAAACTAATGTTTGGTTTTGGTAGCACGTTTTTAGAAGAACTTTACCGGTTCTCGCCTGAAGTGAAGTCCCTGCAGAGTGATATTTTGAATGCTATATGGTCTGTTGAGAAAAAGGAAGTAGTGCCATTGAAAGTGCTAAGAGATTTACAGCTTCTTATAGAACCAAATGCTACAATAACCAATAAGAGCTTACGCACAGCTTTTGTAAATCTTTTGACTGAATTTCTTTTTGAGTGCAGTGATATGGATATCACTCCAAAGTCTTTATTGCAGATCCTAGATGTTATCAATAAGTGTTCTAATAAAAGCACACGCGATGTAACAGTCAAGAAGAAGCGTATTGAAGAAGAAGTTGACTGCATACTAAGTGTGAGTGCTCAGACAAATCAAATTATTCAAGACTTGTTGCCCGACTGTGAATTTGACCAGGACTTTATGGATGCTTATATGGAGCAATCAGAAGAAAGTGATGACAGCGAGAGTGACACTGATAGTGATAAGGATGACGATGATAATCAACTTTTTGATACTAGACAATTTAAAAATGGATCATTCAGAACAACAGATTCAAGCTACAAAGGAGAAAGTGTTGGGGATTTTATCCCATTTGAGATCCATCCTTCTACCACTATGACCGAGGAAAGGTTGAATGTTGATTCTGAAAAGCTTCAACCTATGGATTGTGATACAATAAATTTGGAATCAAAAGTTTGCAACACTAAAGATATAAACCAATGCCAAGAGAAAAGCACAGAGCAGTTTCTTACACCAATGGCTAGGAAAAACTATGATTCTTCAGTTGTTTCACCTGACAAAGAATCAGGTGAAAATATTATCAAGAGACATGAATTTCATGAATCTTACACTAAAGTTGATCCAAGAGATACATCTAATATCTGTGAGGAGATGGAACCCCCGCCCACCAAGCACATCGCACGCAAGAACCAATACCTTGCTACCCAAGATGCTTGTGATAAGACAGCTATGCTTGCATATAATCTCATAGGTCATTTGTTTGAAGAGTTTGCCATAGCTGAAGGCCTGAACTTAGACTTGAGCAAGAGGTCATACCTCAATTGTGATAAGCAAATTGAAGAAGCAAAAGGTATCGAAAATTCCATTACTACCACTACCACTAACACCAATTTATCCACAAAATTTTGTATGGAGATATTGCTACTACATATTTTATTTAACAAAGTGTAATGATTTATTTTAATGTATTGTGAATGATATTTAATTAGTGTTTTGTTACAAACCTATCAATTAATGCTTGTGCTGTCAGCATTGATTATCTAGCTTTATTTCATGCAGAAACTAATGAACAGTCATCATCTAAGAAACGTAGAAGAGGCCCAGCTATTGTTCGAGTAATTGAAGAGCTCGTTCCTTCCTTTCCAGATAGGTATTTGTTACGTTCCTCAATTATGGTAGCATTACAAGAAATGTTATGTATAACATGCATGATTCTGTCTAAAAATGTCATGATATTGTTTTTCTAAATAAGCTTTACTCATTTGCATCGTTGTGAAGTACAACTTAGATTCATAGCAAAGATATTAGGTGGTTTTATTTTTGGGCATTTAAGTACACACTAAACAAGCCAAATTTACGTCTATGAGAATGAGTAACTCTTGTGTTTTGGACATTGCAGTAGCATGGAAAGACTGAAGATATTGATGGACTTATGATAATGGAACTCAGGCTTTCATGTTCAACTAAAGAAGAGCATTTTGAGATTGTTTTACGCATATGGATCTAGTTCACCAAATTATGAGTTCTACTTTGTAATTTTAAGTGTATAGTTTTTTAACTTCTTAATTAGTAGACATTTTCATGTTAAATAACCAGCTCTATTCTGTTTATTCATATAGTGGGTAAAGCTTCAGCTAGTTCAGGATTTTGTTTTTTAAAATTATTCCTTCATTGATTATGTTATTTTTGGTATACATGATTCAAGATTTCAAAGTGTTTATTGAGATAGAGGTATTATTGTAAAAGAAAATCGAGGCATTTAAGAGAATAAAGTTTCCTGTGTTAACTGAGCCATGCATCATTTCATATACTATGACAAATCTGAGTAAAACATTCAACTGTTATTACTGCCATGTATATCGCGAACAAGTAACTTCATACATTGTGTGCCAATATCGCTCAAAACTTCCACACATTCCTTCAAATCTGAGTCATTCACCAACATCACCCATTCCTCTTCATCATCTAGATACTTGAGTTGAAACGAACCATTTTGTAACTTAAACCTTGTTGCAACTTCTTCGTATAGTTGAAAACAACCTCCACATGGATCAAACTTGAAGCGAATAGTATCACCTCTAAAGCTAGCTTTAACAGCGAACTTGGACTCGCTGTCAACACAAATTGAATTGACTTTTGAGTGCTTTTGGTTCTCAATGCTTTGAGAGCCTGATGAACTTCCATGCACCATTGGTCCAGAGGCATTGGATGAATCTGTCATGCTTGAAGAAGTAGAGTTATTAAGTTCAACTCCTTTTCCTTCATCCAAACCTAGTTCAATCAATGTGAATGAACTATTCGAGTTAATATCATGCAAACTACTATTGTTCAAATCGCATCGATCTTCCTCTATCTCAAGAACAGAACCGATAGAGTTTTGTTTAGGACAAAGCCATGACGATGAATCTGGAACACAGCCAACAGAAGAAACATTGTCTTTCTTCAATTCTTCCTCGCATAAATTTGATATAAGAATACCATCATCTTCCAACTTAACGGCCGAGTTCTCTACCGAGTTTTTCTCGGGAAACACAAGAGCTTTATCATGCGTACCAATCTGTTGGATGATCGATCCTCCTGCAACAAATCCACCAGTTTGAGGATCAAATTTCAGCACTCCTTCCACTCCTTGGACAGAATCAAGAACAGTTTGTATTTTCTTCAACGAACGGTTCACTTTATTTATCTTGCGCGATGGCCATCTAGAAATTCCATGTTGCCTGCATATTCTCTTCAGAGTTGTTGGACAAACTGTTCAAAGAAAAAATCATGAGATTTTTATTGACTAAATTTCCATCACAATAAGCTGAGTTAATAATATAAAGAAATTATTTTCATAAATATCGACGGTGTCTCACCTCCGATTCTTTTTGCAGCATCCTTCAGACTACCAGAAAAGTATTGTTGCAGAACACTCAAGCTAACATTCTTCTCTACCGCACTTCTCTTTTTCTCAGCCAGCTTTCTTGATCCACTGAATGCCTATAATAACAGTTACTCAAATATTAAAAAACAAGGTTTCGGAAAACACTAAAAATCGAGGATGAAAGAAGAGAAGATTCTGTCGAAATATACCTGACTATGAGTAGTTTGATTTCCATTATTCTTTAGGTTAATTTCATTCAATGACATCTGAAATAAATCATGGTCTTCACTTGTAAATGCTATCTGAGAGCTTCCCTTAGACATTGGAAAAAAACCCGAGACATTTTCGTTTCGAAACCGATGTTGAGAACATTCTAACCCTCTTAGTTCGGCTTCAGAAACTGTCCTCAAACTCTTACAGATTCTCCTCATAGTATCTGACAAATTGTCTAATAAAAGCTGTTGTTCTGAACTCCCTATCATATTGATAGGAAGAAAGAATTCTAACACGTAATCATCATCGTTCGTATAAGTACTTCTTAGCCTAGTTGCAACCGCAGCGTTCAAGTTATATTTTCGCGCGTGATGAACAAGCGGATATTCAGTAATATCATAAGCCTTCACGTCGGTATAGAAAAACGGATGATTTGATTGAAGAGCTTTTCCAGATATACCTTGTCCTTCCTCAAGATGATGTTCAGAACACGCATGAACAAATCCTCCTACCGTTTTATCATTTATATAACAAGCCGATTCTTCAATGCATAGTACACATTTTTCATCAGAACTTTTCGTATGGCCTTCTTTAATTCGTATTTTCTCAGATTCTTCGCCTTTTCCCTCGGTATAATAACATGGAATCCATGTCAGTGCTAGTGGTAATCTATGCGCATGACAAACAGCTCTTAATATATCCATTATCTCGGTTAATGCAGCTCTTTTGTTGTTTGATACACACTGCATAAGAAAAAGTGATTCTCTTAAGAACTTCAGAAATTCAGAAGAAAAAACATAAATCAGAAATCAGAAAAAACCTGTGGAAGTAGTCGTGGAGGCGTAATAGTCCTTAAATTCACACGCTGCGAAAAGTCACGGAAAACACAGAAAATGTTACTTAGTAGTTGAAGATTACAATTTACAACAATAAAGTTCATAGTATCAAAAGAAAAAACCAACCTGGAGTGCATGAGAAACAAATTCTAATTCTTTGTCGAAATTCGATTTTTCCTTTGTAGTAACAAGTTCTAGCACAGCACTACATGAAACTTCAGAGTGCATATCAGATATAGGAAGTGCAATTGAACCGCGAACCTCGTGACTAATTGCATGATCTAATCTCAAATACTCAGATTTATGATAGTAACCAATATTTGAAGTCCATTCAGGAACATGCGAGTTATACACGCGGCCGGGAAGTCCAGGACAACAAGATCCCGTTTTCATTTCCGCAGAAAACGTAAACGACCTCGACACTTCGCGATAACCTGCAAGCTTTTGATCTAACAAATATGGTTGATCACTAGTAGTTAAGACGAATTCGTCGCCATATTTTATCGGTACCCAAACTTGTGCTAATATTCCTCCACCAGCTGATTCCTTAAAGAATGATAAAGCATTCATCATTCTCTCATCAAGTGACCAACCCGGAGATTTCGATATCATGTAATTACACATATCAAATGAATCATTTTGTTCTTGTTGTGAACCAAAATTATTATTTGTTTCATTTTCATTATCTAAGAACTCAAGTTGAGTTTCCATCTGTTGCAATAGTACTTTTTCACTATCCATAACATTGTAACTTCCACCAATTTCTGTCATGAAAAATGAACCATCAATATGTTCAACTAAATTCAATCCATCATCATGTGATGAATATGCAAATGATGAAAGATCATTAGTCAGAGTTTGATCCGCTATCGACGACGAACCATTGCACCAACCGGCATAGCTGTCGAAGTTCATCAGCTCAGAGATGTTGGTAAACATATCATCTGAAGCTGTTGAACTTTTCATTCCATTATCCAATGGTGTCCAGAAGCTAATTCCTTTCTCGTTTGAAGAAAATTGATCTTCCATTTTCAAACTTGAAACTGATATTTAAATAAAAAGAATGAAATTAAGCATAAGAAAAACCTGAAAGGTTGAATCCTTGCTCCATATATAGCAAGTTCCTTCACTGAAACAATGTAGTAGTATAAAAGTTAGATAGTTTCTATAAAAAGAAAGGTACTAAGTGTACGGAAGTTTCATAGTTAGTGTTACCTTAATCATGTTATCAGATTGTGATAAACATAATATCTATTTAATGTAGGATATGTTGTTTTCGGATTTGAGTAAATAATTAATATATATTGAAAGACAAGTAATAAACCACCTGGAATGAAAAAGAATCTAGTGGCTAGACAATGATATTTTATGAAGAAAAAAAAGCAAGCATAAAAATATTCTGGTGACACATTAAGGATGTTGATAATGATTTGATGTTGGGAATGATCTGTTTTTTTAATTAGTTGTTTTAATCATTTTCGAACCTTAAAGTTGACTCCTAGTGATTATGTTTTGCCATCCGTACTCTACGGTCATATATTTATGCTTATTTATAGATTCTTTTTGGGTATATATTTATTTATTATTGACTGAAAAATATTTATTATTATTAATTTTAATCATATAAATATATGAGTTAGAGAATAGAAATTCTTATAGACAGACTGAATTTAAAGTTTGAAGAGTAATATGAGTTTTTATATGTCAACAAAATCATCTTAACATCAGAGTTGAACACAATTTTTTAAGACAAACATGTAAAACAACTTTTACGAGTTTTTGATCTAATTTAATCGGTAACCGGCTCAAATTTTTTTTAGAGATATATATGATTTGTTATCGGTTAATTATGATAAAATAAATAGATATTATATTAACTGTGAGAAATATTTTATAAAATTATTTAATTTAAATTTTTTCATAATATATTTTGAGTTTTATGCGGTATTCAATTATGTAAGTCTTCAAAGACGATTCTAATAACAACATATAATTATAAGATCGTAAATAAAAATCTGATATATATATATATATATATATATATATATATATATATATATATATATATATATATATATATATATATATATATATATATATATATATATATATATATATATATATATATATATATATATATATATATATATATATATATATATATATATATATATATATATATATATATATATATATATATATATATATATATATATATATATATATATATATATATATATATATATATATATATATATATATATATATATATATATATATATATATATATATATATATATATATATATATATATATATATATATATATATATATATATATATATATATATATATATATATATATATATATATATATATATATATATATATATATATATATATATATATATATATATATATATATATATATATATATATATATATATATATATATATATATATATATATATATATATATATATATATATATATATATATATATATATATATATATATATATATATATATATATATATATATATATATATATATATATATATATATATATATATATATATATATATATATATATATATATATATATATATATATATATATATATATATATATATATGTTTGTCAAGGATGTATGGTCCAACTTAAAACTCAATTTGATTCTAACCCGTTTCATAAAAATGCCAAGTTCAAACATTTTAAAAAGTCTATTAATTTAATGGGTTTGTTAAAGTCTATAAAAAATTTATTAGAACTTTTGACCAACCAATTTATACGCAATCTTATATATTATATTTATTTGTTTATTTATACATTATAATTAAGTTTTTATTTTTTTAAATTTACAATACAATATTTTTTTTTTAATTTTGTTTTCTAACTATTTAAATTTTTAAATGAAATTGTTTTAAATTAAAGTTTTTCAACTCTCTACGATTTACCCCCTCTTGTGTATGGAGTAACATATTCAACATATGTGACACTCTATAAAACTAATGGATGTATCATATATCGTACTCCATGGATGAGGAGTTGTCACATGACGTATATCATCTCGCATCAGATGATCAAAGTACGCTACAAACATCTTATCAACATCTCCGTAGAGGATAGTACCACGCGTGCGCGCGCGCTCAAACACAAACACACGCGCGCGCACACACACACACACACATGCACACACGCACACGCGCGCACACACACGCGCACACACGCGCACACACACACGCACACACATGCGCACACACACACGCACACGCACACACACGCGCACATACACACGCACACACACGCGCACACACACACAAACACAAACACACACGCGCGCGCACACACACACACACACACGCACACACACACACACGCACACACGCACACACACACACACAAAAACACACGCGCGCACGCACACACACACACACGCACACACACGCGCACGCACGCACATGCGCACACGCGCACACACACACACACACACACACACACACTCTCTCTCTCACACACACACACAATTTCTCTCTTCATCTCTACACTCAATTTTTCCATTATTCACCAATATTGTGGTTCAAAGTTCTAACATTTGACATCAAAAGTCTGGTTCTGATTCACAAACAACTAGTGTGCAACATGAATTGTGTCTCCAATAAAAGAATCCCTGCAAACCTACCCATCATTGTTGCGAAGAATTACGCCAAATGGTGCAAGCAAATGGAAGTGTTGTTTAGCTACCAAGATGTACTTCAAGTGATCAAGAACGGGGTAAATCCTCTTGCCGAAGGTGCAACAGATGCACAACGAGCAACATATAAGAAAGATAAGAAGAAAAATTTCAAGGCGGTGTGTTTGATCCATCAATGTGGATGGTGATAACTTTGAGAAAGTTGGTGATTGAGAATCATCAAAGGAAGCATAAGAAATCTTATAGAAGGCATATATAGGGGATGGCAAGGCGAAGGTGGTGAGGTTACAAATCACAAACGTCAACTTGAATTGATTCAAATGGAAGAAAAGGAGACGATCAATGATTTAACAACAAGAATCACTCGATTAGTGAATCAAGTGAAGGCATGTGGAGAAACAATCACGCAACAATATGTTGTCGCATAAATCTTATGTTCTTTAACGCCAAGAGTTGACAGCGTGGTTGTAGCGATTAAGGAATCTAAGGATCTTGCGGCGATGAGAAAAAAGGAGTTGCAAAGCTTTCTTTAAGATCATGAGCAAACCTTGAAGGATAAAAATAATGATAGGGTAAAGGCGGAAATCGCTTTGCAAGCTCGCTATAACGAGAAGGAAAGGAGATTGAAAGGAAAATGATACATGAAGAGTAAAGGGAATTTTTAGAATTTTGGTGGAAAAGAGTCCCAAAAGTTTTAAGAATTCGACTTGTCAAAGGGGTGAGAGCAACTCCAATAAAAATTATGGTCAAGGCAACTTTAGAGGTGAAAGGAAGAGGTTTGTCAAAATTAAGGTGAAATGGTTTAATTGTCAAAGTTTTGGTTGTTTTGCAAAAGAGTGCAATGCAAACAAGAAGGAACCTCAAGGAGATGAAGCCAAGGTTGCAAGACAAGTGTTGGATGAGGAGAATACACTCTTGGTCATGATCACAGAAGGTGATAGCAATAACAGCAGGTTGCGAGACATCAACAACAATTTTGAAAACACTGCAGAAACATGTTGTGACCTGTTACGTAAAAGTTGTAACCAGTTACAAGCAGAAGAAAATGTCTTGATGAGTACGAAAGGTTCAGTTCAATGCAGCGACGAATGATATTTGGACTCTGGGTGTTCTACTTATATGATAGATAGGGAGGAAGGATTGGTTTGTTAAAATTAATCGTGCCATGAAGAATAAAATGAAGTTTGCGGATGAAACCACTATAGTGGTTATTGGGATCAATGATGTTTTGATCATGAGAAGAGATGGTGGACATTCCTTGATCAAATATGTATTGTACATTCCATGAACCAAATGGAGCCTTCTAAGTATCGACCAATTGCTTGAGAAGGGTTACAAGATTCACATGGAAAACAAGGGGCTGCATGTTATGGATGTGTTAGCTCCTAAATTCGACACCTCTTGCAAGTTAAGATATTTAAGAGAAAGCATCAAAATCTCGTTGGAGATAAAAGCTGATCAAAGAGTTCAAGGTCTACGAAGAAGAAGAGTCTAAAAATTTGGACGACTTTGGGAAAATCATGAAACTTCGAAGGGTCATGCATTGATCGAGACGTTGCTTGATGATTATCTTAAAGATTTGAAATTCAAATAAATTGGAGGGAGTAGTTTCATTCGCTAATGACTAAGAGGACATGTGGCACCCGGTGGGCGAAGGACTCCATGCATCACGACATGTGTCGGAAGATGATGGTTTTGGGAAGTTATTGTTAGTTATTTCTTCTATTATAAATAGGAGTTTTAGAGGTTGAATTAGGGGTGTTGTAATTTACTTTTGTACAAGTCACTCCTAAAATTACTCCAAGTATCCGAGTGTAGAGAAAGAGAGTATCAAGGAGAATGTACGTGATGTAAACACACCATGTTTTACTTTTCAATGAAGTTTACTTTGTCCTTACTTTTATTAAGTTTTCTTTACCTTCTCGCTATACTTTCCTGTTTTTATACATTCTTACTTTGCCTTGGACCCCTTTTCTTCATCTAAAGATTTCTATTTCTTTCTATCCAAATTTCTATCTTCTTCCTCTCTTCAGTCTAATAAGCAATTCTACCATTAAGACTTTTCACCCAATATTGTCAAAGTGTGTAACTTAGGCAGATTCTAGAAAACGAAACCTTTTAGCACATGTCCTATGATCAATCTGATCGATCCTGTGAGTCACCAAAGTTAGATTTGGGAGATCAGCGGTTGTTTTCCAATTTTTAAGGGAAAAAAAATGGAATGCCTAGTGGGACAGTGCTAAAAAAGTTTCTTTTATACAATTAAATTTGTACAAATTGCAGTCTTATTGATCTTTTCGTGAAAAATACATTTTATGTTACTGATAAGTGGTAGA